GTAGAAGAGTTTGTTGAATCTGACGTGACATGTTCGTACGAACCCTTTGTACGAACAAAAGTAAGAGAAATTTAGGAGAAGAATACGAACATGTTCTTGCATGAGGCCCATTGACTTTTTGGATAAAAAGTATCAGTTAAATATATCATATGGGGGACAAACAGTGATATTTGAGAAGTGAAATGAAGTTTAAATGATTTACAGAAAAATGTGCAATAATTGGTTAAACAAAATTAGGCAGCTGCATAAATTTGGTCACTGTTGTCATTTTATTGATTACAAAACCTTTAGAAATAATTATTGGAACTTAAATTTGGTTTGGTAAGTTCAGTGACCCTTGACATCCATTCAGAGGTGACTCCAATTATGAGAAAGTGTATTTAATGGGGGCAATTATGAGTTTTTCTCCTCTTTGCATCTTCTCTGAAGAGTGGCAGCATGGGAGTCTCAAAACAACTTTCAAATGAGCTGAAAACAAAGATTCTTCACTGTCATGGCTTAGGGGAAGGATACAGAAAGCTATCTCAGAGATTTCAGCTTTCAMTCTCCACTGTGAGAAACATTGTGAGAAAATGGAAGACCACAGGCACAGTTCAAGTCAAGGATCGAAGTGGCAGACCAAGAAAAATCTGGAATAAACAGAAGTGAAGGATGTTGAGAACAGTCAGAGTCAACCCACAGACCAGCACCAAACACCTACAACATCATCTTGCTGCTGATGGAGTCACTCTGCATTGTTCAACTATTCAGCACACTTTACACAAGGAGATGCTGTATAGGAGAGTGATGCAGAGGAAGCCTTTTCTCCACCCACATCACAAACAGAGCTGCTTGAGGTGTGCTAAAGCACATTTGGACAAGCCAGCTCTATTTTGGAATAAGGTGCTGTGGACTGATGAAACTAAAATAGAGTTATTTGGACAGAACAAGGGCCGTTATGCATGGAGGAAAAGAGCACAGCACTCCAAGAAAAACACCTGCTACCTACAGTAAAACGTGGTGGTGGTTCCATGATGCTGTGGGGCTTTGTGGCCAGTAAAGGGACTGTGAATCTTGTTCAAGTTGAGGGATGCATGGATTCCAATCAATGTCAGCAGATTCTGGAGACCAATGTCCAGGAATCAGTGACAAAGCTGAAGCTGTGCTGGGGCTGGATCTTCCAACAAGACAACGACCCTAAACACTGCTCAAAATCTAGTAAGGCATTCATGCAGAGAAACAAGTACAACGTTATGGAATGGCCATATCAGTCCCCAGACCTGAATATTATTGAAAATCTGTGGTGGCACTAAAGAGAGCTGTCCATTCTCAGAAACCATCAAACCTGAATGAACTAGAGATGTTTTGTAAAGAAGAAAGATCTAAAATACCTTCAGCCACWATCCAGACTCCCATCAGAAGCTATAGGAAGCATTTAGGGAATGTTATTTCTGCGAAAGGAGGATCTACTAAATATTGAGATAAGGTTTTTTTATGGAGCCCAAATTTATGCACCTGTCTAATTTTGTTTAACCAATTATTGCACACTTTCTGTAAATCATTTAAACTTCATTTCACTTGTCAAATATGACTGTGTTTATCCCCTATATGATGTTTTTAATGGATATTTTTTTATCCAAACAATCAATGATTTATAAAGGTAAATCAGGAAAATTAGCAAGGGTGCCCAAACTTTCGCACCACACTGTATTAGTGAAGGCAGAAATAATGGCACAATTAACTAAGAATTTTTTTAATCTAAGAATCTAGTACAAGTTTTGACCCAGATACATTTTAAAACTCCACTTCTGCAGAAATTGTGACATTGTGTAAAATTTAAAACAATGCAACCATTTACAAATCTTAGAAACCCATATTTTACAGACAATGGATCATGGTAAATATATTGAATGTACAAAACAAGAAATTCTATCATTTTAAGGAAAAAAATAGGCTAAGAGAATTATTTGTGTGCAAAAGACAAGGCCTAAAATCCATTTTGGTGCTGTGATTTGGGTGGCACTTAATGAATAAACTAGGACTGCTTCTGTGATCCACATCACTGCATGAGATCAGGAACTTTTCCACAGATCACTGTCTGGCTGTGTCAAAATTCATGGGCTGGGTCCTCATGAGTGCACACCTGTTGGCCGCACATGTCACTGCTCTGCGCGGAGGACTATCCCAGTTAGAAGGCTCCTCATCATGTGGCTGACAAACTCTCGAAATCTGAAGATGCATCAGTGTATCCTCACTGGCCATGGATATCCCAGGATTCAATGTGTGGGCAGCAAAATAAACAGAGAAATGAAGATGGTG